ACAATACTCTCAATCACATTACTAGGGTATGGATATATTATGTCAAACCCCTAATGTGATTATTCCTTCTTATATGATTCAATTGAGTCGTATAAGAACGCTTTCCTTTATTACGCTCGATACTTCGGCCGAAGATTCTCGAATCATATCTTAGAGTATTCTTCCTCTCTAATCGAGGATTAGAGATTCCTTGTTGCGCATTCACTTGCCTTCATGACTAAGTGGCTTAACCCTAATTATGCCGTGGACATCCGCGAATGGGGTGACTTTGACATAATCAAAGATTAAGTACTTAGCCACAAGACAACGACGATGCCTCAGGTCAAAGGACTACTTACATTATTCCAACCATTAGAGTTACTTGCTTGACATGTGAGTAGACCTCCATGCAAGTACTCTCGTTCGATTGCATTCAGTGAACTTATTCTCTTAATGAGCACCTACATACTTGTCTTAGTGTCACAACACGAATGGGATGAGACTTTCCATCCTTCCATTTGAAGCCGACACAGTATGTACCGTTCTAAGCATTGTCAGTTTCCCTCCGACAATCCAATGACTAGGAACCTTTTGGACACAATGGTTATGTGAAGAAGGTCTCTGTAGTCTAACATCATTAGATTACTTCTTCAATTGATCCATTATCCATGGATACACTATTTAGGACATATATCGTTTATTGAGATAGTCTTAATTCGTGTCTTTGCCATTTGATGTATAAGAGTCATCCATATATCGATTCATTTGTCCTGAAAGGTTTCTTCCAAAGATTGACTTTCAGGGCATATTTCCAACATCTATACCTCAAGAAATTCATATTGGTGTTCTTTGATGACATCTTGGTGTATATCAACAACTGGGAGGAACATCTTTAACACCTACATCAAACTTTTGAGTTATTACAGAAGCACCAATTGGCATTGAAGAAATCTAAATGCATTTTTGGTCAATCATAAGTGGAGTATTTAGGGCACATAGTGTCTAGAAATGGGGTAACAACTGATCTTGCCAAGACTCAAGTTATTTTGGACTAGCCAATACCTAAAAATGTTAAAGAAATGAGGGGATTTCTAGGGCTCACAGGGTACTACAGAAAATTCATACTTGGTTATGGCTAGGTGTGTCAGCCTTTGTACCAAATTGTCAAAAAGGATGGGTTCAAGTGGTCTACTGAAGCTATGACAGCATTCTAGGAAATAAAAATAACCATGACCTTTCCACAATTATTAGCTCTCCCCAATTTCTCTATTCCATTCACTCTGGAGTGTAATGCTTTTGGAAATGGGATAAGCGCTGTGCTACAATAGAATGGCAAGCCTATAGCATTTACAAGTCAAGCTCTAGGACCAAGGAATCAAGCACTGTTAACATATGAAAGAGAGTTGATTGCCATTGTTAGTGTAGTAAAAAAATGGCAAAACTACCTTCAGATGCGCCATTTCACTATAAAGACAGACCATAATAGCTTGAAATATTTTATGAGTCAAAGAACCAACACTCAATTCCAATAGAAATAGGTGGCAAAATTGTTAGGATTTGATTATGAAATACAATATCGACAGGGTAGTGACAATATGGTGGCTGATGCCTTGTCTCGAGTGGCTGAATCATCTAGTTACAAGAAGAACCTCTCAGTGAACTAATGGAGTGCAAACCTATAACTTATCCCTACTTTGGATGGCTGGATGAACTCAGAAGAGTAATAGAGCAAGATAGTTGGATCAAACACAAGTTTTAAGAAGTGGTAGCATGTTCTTAATGTACTACAACTGATACCAGTCTATCCAAATACCATTTAGACAATGGTTTCCTATAATACAAGTCTAGGATTGTGCTTAACCTAGAATCGATATGGATGAGGAAACTTTTTGAAAAGCATCACTCATCTCCAAGTGTAGGCCATGAAAGGGTCCTAAAGACTTATCAGACATTGAAGAAGGGATTCCATTAGATAAGGATGAAGAAGGATATCAAGTCTTAGGTTGCTGAGTGTAGAGAAAACCTGCAAGATAAGTATGAAACCATCTCCCCTCCAAGATTGCTACAACCCCTACCAATACTTGAGCGTGTATGGAAGAACATTAGCATGGATTTCATCACTAGTTTACTCTTGTGCAAAGGAAAATCAGTAATTATGGTGATAGTGCACATGTTATCTAAGCATGCTCATTTCATTCCCTTAGCACATCCTTACACTGCAAGCATGGTAGCTCATGAGTTTGTTGACAATGTGTTCATTCTACATGGGATTGCCCTATACCATTATGAGTGACAGGGACACCATTTTTAAGAGTGCTTTTTGGAAGGATTTCTTTAAGTTGTACGGTTCTAAATTGTGCATGAGTTATGGTTACCATCTACAGAGTGATGGCTAGACTGAAGTGGTGAATAGATGCCTTGAAACCTTCTTGAGATGCTTCATTGGTTGTCAACCTAAGAAGTGGCTCCAATGGCTTAACTGGGCTGAATGGAGTTATAACACATCTTACCACACTTCAGCTAAGTTCACACCCTTTGAAGTGGTATATGGTTACCCACCACTACACATTGCCTCTTATGAACTTGGCAGTACTAAGTTAGACATAATGGAGCAAGGATTGATAGCTAGGGACAAACTCTTAGCAATGTTGAAAACAAATTTCCAGGTGGCCCATAATGTGATGAAAATACAATCTTAAAGCACAAGAGTGAAAAGGGTTTTTGAAGAGGGAAACTTAGTGTATTTGAAATTGATACCCTATCAATTGCAATCCCTGGCATCTCATGCTTACCATAAGCTCCATCCTAAGTACTATGGTCCTTAATTATGCAGTTGTGGAAAAGATTGGAAAAGTGGCCTATAAGTTGAAGCTTCCTGAAGGTTCTAAGATACATCAAGTATTTCATGTTAGTTGTTTGAAGAAACACTTGGGAGATAAAGTTAATACAGCTCCATTATTGCCTATGATTATTGATGATGGTTTACTACCACTTGAGCCAATGATAACGCTACAGAGAAGAATGTACAAGAAGGGTAATGTCGCTGGAGTCCAATTGTTAATTCAATGGAAGAATAGCAAGGAGGAAGAAGCCACATGGGAAGACTATGATGAGTTTACTGCCAAATTTCCTGAATTTAGTCTCTAATCCTAATCTTGAGGACAAGGCTTATTTTGTAATAGAGGGGTAGTGTTATGACTATAATGGCTTTTAGAATAATAGTGGCATTTTAATTAGCTAAGAGGTTGTTAGAGATAGTGGCCAGCTGGCACTATGAGATTGGAGGTTGTATATGAATCAATTATGGCATTGTTTTTTTTTTTTTTTTTTTTTGGGTTGAAATTGTGGCATTGTTTTGCCAATGGTCATTTGAATATTAAAAATACAATATTACAAAAAAAAATCTCTCCCCCCTCTCTACTTGCTTGTTCACCATTGTTACCGAGCAACTTGCAGGTTGAGCTTGGTAGCTGAGAAGTTGAATCATAACAGTCGTGGAGAGAGCGGGGTAGGTGCAACACTAAAAATCCAAATTTCATAATCTCCCAAATTTTCTGCGGTAGTGGGGTCTTTGATGATGGAAATTTTCCGTTCAAATACAATGACTACCTCACTTTCAGCGGTAAGTGCAACATCACTAGATTTCTTCGACTTTTTCACCGAAATGGTCGATTTGGGTTTGGGGTTGGGTCGTAGAGAGGGAGAGACAGAGTCTATGAAGAAGAAATTATAAGGGGTAGATAGTGCAAAATCTATAACTCCATCATTAGGAGTAAAGGGATTGCGTCTTTCGCAATAACCAATTTGGGATGGCTATTTGATCTTTTTCAAGTTAAAAAAGAAAAAAAAAAATCATATTTCTGTCATATTTTTGTACATTTCGTGTGCGCATACACAATTAAAAAATAGAATTTTAACGAAAAACTCCCGCTATTGTTTACTTTAACGAAAAACCATATTTTTACACTAAAAAGTCAATCCTGGTACTATTCACTTTACCCTTTATTTTATCCTTATTGTTAAATCTCAAAGTTTTTAAGTCATTTTCATTAGTTTTCCTTAAAAAAAATTGTTATTTAGGTCTAAATATTTTAAAAAATGGATCATTTCTGACTATTTTCCTTAATTGTTTTACAAAATATCATATTAAATATATATATATATATATATATATATATAATTACATATACAATATATATTAAGAATTTAGGTCCCACCTCACGCCTAGGCAAAACGCTTTGCCTATGCTTTAGCCTTTTAATACATTACTCTTGATGCATGTCGTTTTTCTTCAAGGTACACTTGTTGCCATGTGCTACACATTCTGTACAATTTTTTGGTTTCGACCATTGGACACCAAGATATCTTCGTTTCTCAAAGACCAATAATTAAATTGTACTTTTAAAACAAAAGCCAATCTAAATCAACGAGAGAAGTAATGGCATATATATATATATATATATATATAAACAATGGTAATCTTAACCTTAACACACTGTCCAAAAGTCATTGGAACAACAAAAAAAAAAATTAATAAATGAAAATGGTAGAGCTGTAAAGAATGACCTAGGCTCATACCAACAAGGAAACTCAAATCTAGAGCATGAGAAACTCCTAAGAGAAGCAGAAGTTAAGAAGAATACACACACACACACACACACACACACACACACACACACACACACACACACACACACACACACACACACACACACACACACACACACACACACACACACACACACACACACACACACACACACAGAGCTTTTAAGGGAAGGGATGAATTAGTTGCAAAGCCCACATCACATCGAACTTCAACGATCTGAACTGTTTATTTTTCAAGTTGTACCTCATAGATCATCTTTGCAAAATATTAGCCAAATTGGAAATATTTGGGACATTTAATTGAGTTCAAAGAAATTGACAAACACTATGTTTTAAGAAACATTAAAATATTATTGTAACAATTACATGAGCAAATGGTTTCAGATTGAATTGAATTTTTGCAAAAATAAATTGAAACTTACAATATAAACCGTTTAGATCGTAGAAGTTGAATGTGAAGTAGGTTTCACAACTAAGGGCCTTTCTTTTTCTTCAAAAAATGGGGATCTTTAAGGGCCTCTATATATATGCATTTACATTCTACTCTAGTTCAGCAATTGCTTCCAACTCTAGTTGTCTTGCCGGAATGCTTATATTTCTAGTTGTAGGCACAAAGGGACTAGGCGGTATGGTCAAGTTTTCACCTCCTCCTTCTAACATCTGAACCGCTATTTTCATGGAAGGATGTTCTACCGGGTGTCACATAATACACCATAGCCCTATAATTGCAAGTTTCCTAGGAATTTTACCATCTCCTTCTTCCCCAATATGGATTCGTAGGTCATCCTCTTCCTTTAAAAGATTATAAATCCATTGGGGATAGTAAATTTCATTTGTGGTGTTCTCTGTGGTTGAACCAATATTCTTCATTCCTCCTACCATCTCAAGCAGCATCATTTCAAAGCTATAGATATCTGCCTTGTAAGACACATTTCCGAAATTCCTGGATAACACTTCAGGTGCAATGTAGCCCATGGTCCCCCTAGCTGTAGTGATAGACACCATGCTTTGATCCTTAGAGCATAACTTGGCCAAACCAAAATCAGAAATTTTTGGAGTGAAGTTTTGGTCTAGCAAAACATTATGGGGTTTGATATCGAAATGGAGGATTCGTTGATCACATCCTTGGTGAAGATATTCAATTCCTTTGGCTATGCCTAGGGCAATATCTTGCAGCTTATCCCAACCAAGGAAGGAATTCTTAATATCTGCAGATGAAATGAAATCTTGCAGGGAACCATTGGGGAATAACTCGTAAACAAGAGCTCGTACAAATCCATCAGCACAAAATCCAACCAAGTGAGCCACGTTGATGTGGTGGATATGACCCATCTTTCGCACTTCATTTAGGAACTCTTCCCCATCTCCCTTAGAACTGTTGAGGACTTTGACGGCAATAAAGTGTTGGAATTAACCCTAAAAACTAACAGTAAACTCTAGAAGACAACGTAGCAAGATTAGTGTAATCTTACCTGCAGAATACAAAAAATCACCAATTCGTTCATGTAGAGGCCATGAACACGATGCAAAAGGCTCTTCTACTCACTTGGAGACCTGTATGTCTTTATGGTGATAGTTCCAAAAACGAAGAAGCTTTTCTCTATGAGCAGGGAATCCTTTTTAAATAAAGCAAGGTTACCCAACTTCCATCTATCATGGAGGTTGGTTATAGAGCCGTTGCTTTCAATTCCAGTAGTGGAGGAAGTAGTTCTAGTACGTGCTTCAAAATGCAAAGCATGATGGATGTAACTCCTCAATTGTAGGACATGTTTTTACACATATACAAAACCCTAACTGATTTATAATTTCAAACATGTTGACACATCTATATCACTACTAGTTGAGTCCAATTAGGATTCTTACATTCTCACACTTGGACGTTAACTAGTTGTAGTTTGAAACAACATGTTCATTATAAATCATTCCTTAGTGATCACCGTGAGTTTCACGCAATCCATATCCTATACACATATACTAATAAACATTTGAAAATTGAACTCCAAAAAACAATGCATGTATCAATACTGCATGCACCCTGAAATCACGATATTCAAAATCGCACTGTATGATGTCAATGACATATGCATATATGTACAATCCATACTTCAGTAATCATTACAATTCTCACACCTTTTCCTTCCACACTCATCTGTCCAATGCACTTTAATCAGACTTATCTTTAGAGATTTTCATCCTTAAACACTGGACTTTGAGTTGATTTCTAGCTTCCTGCACAAAACAAACTTATCCAATATGTTCTTTGGAACAATCATTGGCCACATTAATTGCTTTAAATAAGTCTGAATCAATAACCATAGTGTCAATTGAATATAAGCTTGAATGAAACAACAAAACACAAACTCGCAGCAACACTAATAAATAGTTATAATTCATGCAGTAGCATGTTTTACTCCCACATTCCTATAGAATCAAAACTATCATGCACACCCATGTTTGCTACATGTTCTTTGAACATTCCCACTAATCTCGCATATTGAAACTAATAATAAAGCTTCACGATAGTGGTACATTTCTAGCGAACTGTATGCAACAACCTTATGTGAAAATGCAATAGCCGTATATATAGATCCTTATTTGAATAGTCATAATCTCCATCCTTATATTCACAAGTTGATATCCTGTATCACTGTATAACAGTCTTCCTTGTTACTTCAAAAATTGAAGTCACAAGTCCAAAACACTTTCACGAAGTAGTACAATTAGCCATTATTCTAACTAGTTGGCCACCAAGTGTATTTATAGCACATATTTGTTTAATCAAACCAGAAAGAACCCTTACGGCGAAAGAGTACAATACATAATAATTTGCAAGATGTAAGGCAAAACAAATATAAAGTTATCACTCCCACTAATTTAATTAATCATAACGTAATTACAGAACTACACTTTTGATAAAGTTCTGAAATATGCATGCTTTGGGAGCAACCTTACTATGACAATTAGTTAACACAAAAGCATCTTACCACATAATTTTATTTATTTACTTCTTTTATGTTTCCTTAACATGCAAGAAATCACATTATCAATGAAAAAGTCACAAAAGTATCACAATCTTTCATGCACAAGATATTCCAATCTTTCCTTGATATTCATTTAAGCATGTATGATGGATACACAAAACCATACCACAAACAATCAAACGGTATGAAACAACTGGACCACAATTGTATCGATATCAAACATTAGTTCGTATTAGCTTCACACTACTTATAAAGACCAACATGTAACCATCCAATGCAACCATATGCAATAGACAAAGATGATAGACAATGCACATAAACATCATATATACATTATATATAGTCACGCAATTTAACCATGTTGTCATCTTTAAGATTATAATTCAACTTGAGTCATGCTAGTTTGAATCAGGGTGAGGTTCCTTACACTACATTTTAGCAAATTCTAGTGCAAAATTATGAAACCCTTGCTCTACAGCATGAAACTAATGAAACTTGCTTTACAGCCTGAAACTGATTGCTTTGGAAATAATGACTTTCCATTTGATTCATGTCATGGTGGTATATGCCATATGCCGTATGCATGCGTACATTAGTTATTGTTCCAAGACTTGGATGGTAGAGCATGCTAATAGTACCTTGGCGTTACTGATCTGTTTTCTCACATATGGATGTTGAATATTAAACATGCATTCATCATAGAAGGAAACTTAATACATGTGTTTTCAAAAACTTTAGTTTACTTTCAATTTGATTTGGACAACACAAAGAACAACTCTCATAATCTTTTAGAACTTAATAACTTTTGAATGAGTTAATGAGTGTGAAGCTCAAGATTTCGTCACTTATTCTCTTACATGGGCAAAACACTCATTAATTTATTGCTTCACCAAAATTCGGCGTACTAGTTGCTTAAAATTTTAAACACAAAAGAATAGAAATCCAAAACAAAAGATTCCACGAGTGAGTTCCAATTACTCTAGGATTTACTATAACTAATTTATATATATATATATATATATATATATATATATATATAATGACTAATCCTCAAGTTATGTAAAATAAACCAGAGACGCTTATTATTCATATAACAAGTTAAGAAGTCATGTTTGTCCTATTAATAACCAAGAGACAAGCAAAGTGGACTAACCATAAACTGCCAGCATAGATTTCTTTATGAGCATAGATTACTTATAAATTTATAACAAATAAAATACATAACCAATGACCACGAAAATGTGAATTGTAGGAGAAGACACATATACGTACAACATATCAAAATGTCAAGCATTTTCATGGTCCATATATGTGCCATTGATTAAGCTTTATTCAAGACATAATTTGCCAAGCAATTTTTGTGCATCGACATCTCTCATGAAGATATATATATATATAAACATTTTATATCTCATGCTTTCATTAAAATTGGTCCTTACATACCTATAATGAGGCTCATAGCAAAAGCATTCGTAAATAAAAATAAAGAACTTTATCTCTTGATCATGTATTACATGGGTTACCTCATGAAAACTTTCAACACCTTTGGGCAAGGCCTTCACAAATTTTTATTTTTTTATTTTTTGGTTTTTTGTTTTTGTTTTGTTTTTTTGTTTTTTGAAATAAATTCATACTATGCCATCCTAATTGAACCAAAAATAATGATCTACACATTTGGGCAAGAAGATCATCGATCCCTTTGTTATAATTAAGATGCAAGTTTGATCAAAGAACCTTAAAATCACTGGTCCTAAAGTCAACTAAGCCATTGCGTTTTGCTTAGTTGATGCAAGTATGTGATAACTTTGTCGTTTTTATATATAGTTGATATGTTTCATTACTTTTCTTTCAAAGTTCATCAATAATTGCTTAAGAAAAACCTATTATTAATTGGAACCCGACTCAAAGCAAAAAGAGTGTTACAATTAAACAAATGGGAAAGCAGAGACCCACTTTGAAATTGATCGAATAAAATATCATGTGGGCAACGATTCAATTATTAAGCTACAATTGCATTACACCAATGTCTATGTGCCAATATATATATATATATATATATATATCAACATGTATTATAGTGTAATCAAGAAGACATTACCTATATGCAAAGAGTACAGCAGCGAACAACATATTGGAAGTGTAAAGAGATGAATGATTACCTACCTGAAGAAGTCATGGATGAAACCAAAGAAAAGCTTCTACTCCGCAACCTTGGATGAGAAACAACTTTAAATATTAAACACAGATTTATGTTACACCTTTGGGCAAGAAACATAAACTGCCAAATATGCATTACACATCCTTATTTGTATAGCTATTTCACAAAATTCACATTCCAACTTGAATCATATCTTTGGACAAGAGACTAAAGTTGCCTTACGGAATCATGAAATACTATACACTGAGTCACAGTTTGAACCAATCATTATTTCTTTCTTTGGAAAGATTAGTATCATGTTATAAACTGTTAGTCACAATTTCATGTAAAAATTACATTGAACAGAACTTCCTAATAATTCTCACTTTGGTGAAAAATTATATAAACATTTGTTCAAGAATACTTTATCATGGTTGTTGCTCCTGCAAAAGCCGTTAGTCTTGATAACCTTTGCGATGAGTTATCTTTATCATCATCATGCCTTCCAACATGTGTCTGAAAAACTTTATACACATGAACCATTAATAATGACAACCATAAACCACAATTAAGTTTTTGTCAAATAAAATTCCTGATAATCCCACTTTTTCGTGAAGATTATTTTAATTGGAGTCTTTAACAAGATGAATCATTAGATGCCCAAAAAACTGTTAGCGACATAACACTATATACATAGCCCTGCAATTGTCTAAATCATTAGCAAGCCATTAATTACCTATATATATATACATATATGTCGTTCTGGAGTGAGACTTTAATAACAAGATTACTTGTACATGAAACCTATCAGCAACGCCACAAGATAAAAGTATGAAAATACTACATGTAGAAGCTAAGGATGACTGCACAAGAGAGAACTTCTACTCCCACTAATTAACCCAGTTTACTTTTATTGATCAAGATTGAATGATCTATTTACAGTTACGGGACTCAAATATTTCAAGCTACCTACATGTTAGACTTAACCAATATATTCTTGTAAGACAAGAATTAATCAGCCATTTAAATCAATCAAATGCATATAACAAGTCCGAACAAGTTTTAATGCTACTAGTTAACAACTTCAAATGGCAAGAAACGCAGGCTTGAAATAGCGTACATGTATTTAAATATACACACCAGTTTCGTTAAGTTAGGAAAATAAAGAATTATATATATAATTTTCCCAGCAAATATGAATCTAATCATTCTCAGAGTGATTGGAAATAATGCATTGGATCTAGGGCCTGTTAGATGTCTCTGATACCAAATGTTGGAATTAACCCTAAAACTAACAGTAAACTCTAGAACACAACGCAGCAAGATTAGTGTAATCTTACCTGCAGAATACAAAAGATCACCAATTCGTTCCTGCAGAGGCCATGAACACGATGCAAAATGCTCTTCTACTCACTTGGAAACCTGTATGTCCTTATGGTGATAGTCCCAAAAACGAAGAAGCTTTTCTCTGTGAGCAGGGAATCCTTTTTAAATAAAGCAAGGTTACCCAACTTCCATCTATGTATGTCTATTTCATGGTTTAAACTATTACAAGATCAAAACAAATATAGAGGAAGAAACGGGAAAGAAAAGGGAAAACAAGAGGTGGAGGACAATGACAACAAAAGTAATCATGATGACAGCAAAAGCAATCATGATGATGGCCTCCACTCTACCTAACTTAAGCCACTAACTTAACTTTACAATTATGAGGGAACATTATTACTTTAATTATCCTAAAGTAAACAGCTAGTACTAGCACTAAGACTAGCAGAAAGCTTGCATTATTCTTCCAACATACTAGCAGCTCCATGCTTCCATGCTTGCCATCCGATTTTGTGCATCAATACTTTACTACTTCAACACCCCTGTTCAAGCTGGATCAAGGGGATTTATTGAGCCAAGCTTGCCCAAAAGATGATGAAACTGAGCAGATGGCAGAGCTTTAGTAAATACGTCAGCCAATTGATCATAACTTCAAGTGAACACAGTGTGAATGACTTGAGATCGAACCTGAGATCGAACAAAATGACAATCCATTTTTTACATCCATTTTTTACATCTAGTGTTTTGTCGTTGCTGAATTATGTGGGGTATTAATTTATTGCAGAACAGTTACGCTTTCCTCGATGGTTTCCATTCAAATCCATCGGTAAGAGCTTGTATTTCTTGCATATAGTCAACTCTTTGATTTTTATTTACTTTTCGCACTTATAGCCGTTCCGTTGGTATGGCTTTTACTTTTTGCTATTTTTGTTGCAGTGCGTGGATGGGGTATATTGATGTGGATTGGTAAGAAGAGCTTGTATTATTCTATGTGTGTATGGATCTTTTAGGCTAGGGTTTGACCAGGAAAGGAAAAATTTAAACGAATGATGCCATGTAGAATTATAATTGTATTGATTATATTGATAACACAAGGTTTAAATATATACTAGTCTTTTGACTTGCAGTACAAGTAAACTCAAGCTTACAGAGATTTACCAAACCTAACCCAATAGAATCCTAACCAAATTCACCTACACGACACGCAATACTAGAAAAAAGTTGAAAGTAGTGTGGATATAACAAATAGGTTTCTTTTCTTACGATTCTTGTGGTGATATATTTCTTATTGCAGGCTTATTTTTTTCTAGCAAGACTGCTATTTGGGGTTCCAATTTCAACTGTATTTTTAGTCTATAAATGGCGAAGAAGACATTTGTCAATGTATAGTACAATAGAAGACTTTCTGCAACACGATAAGAACTTCATTCCTATAAGGTACACTTACTCAGACATTAAGAAGATGACTCACACGTTTAAGGATAAGTTGCGTGAAGGCGGCTTTGGTTCCGTATTTAAAGGAAAGTTACGCAATGGCCGTTTTGTAGCAATTAAAGTTTTGGGCAAGCCCAAAGCTAATGGCCAAGATTTCATTAGTGAAATAGCTACCATTGGAAGGATTCATCATGTTCATGTTGTGCAACTTGTTGGTTATTGTGTTGAGGGATCAAAGCGTGCTCTAGTATATGAATTCATGATTAATGGCTCTCTTGATAAATACATTTATTCCAAAGAAGGAAGTATCCCCTTAACTATCAACAAAATGTTTGAGATTTCTCTTGGAGTGGCCCAAGGGATTGAGTATCTACATCAAGGTTGCGAAATGCAAATTCTACATTTCGATATCAAGCCTCATAATATTCTTCTTGATGAGAACTTCAAAGCAAAGGTTTCTGACTTTGGGCTAGCAAAGTTGTACCCTGTAGATAATAGCATTGTCACGTTGACGGCAGCAAGAGGGACAATGGGATATATTGCTCCTGAATTGTTCTACAAAAATATTGGAGGCATCTCATACAAGGCCGATGTCTATAGTTTCGGAATGTTGTTGATGGAAATGGCAAGCAGAAGGAAGAATTAGAATAGAACGGTAGAACATTCAAGCCAAATCTACTTCCCTTTGTGGGTATACGATCAGTATATCATGGGAAATGATTTGGAGATGGACAATGGTACAGACGAGGAAAAGAATGCAATAAGAAAGATGATTATAACTGCCTTGGGGTGCATTCAAATGAAACCAACTGATCGCCCTTCGATGCACAGAGTCATTGAGATGCTTGGAGGAGATGCTGAATGTATGCAGATGCCCCTCAGGCCTTCTCTATGCCTGCAAGAGACTCCTGTGGCTGTGGGTGGTATTCAAGACAATAATGTGATCCCAATATGTTCTAACGTAGAGCTAACATGTTCTTTGTCAGCTAGGTGATGACCAACTTGTTAATTAAAAGAAAGTGAAATAATGTATTAAATTCTTACTTTCAAGTGATTTAATGAAGAACTGTTATTTGAGGTTTATATTGAGTACCTGGTCCTCTAGAGTATGACTGACTAGCTTATCAAGCTTTCAAAGGTTGTCTTATTTTTTTGTCTTCTCATCTGCCTATTAATTTGCACGGGTTGCCATGGCCTACCTTTCACGAGCTTATAATGAGCTTCTTCTTCATCAGTTTTGTCCATCTATTTTTCTTCACCAACCTTGAGACTTACTAGGCTTACTATTGAGAAGATCTACGCTTAGCATCAGGTTTTCTGCAGTCGAAACTTGAAATTTATTTTCCTCCATGGCGCGTTCTGATCAAATGGAGCTGTCTTCCTGAAATTGTACTTCTTGGCTACTGTCAAAATATGCACCTTAAAATTGGTTTGAGGTGTTAGAGTAGAATCCTCATCTCCAGATTCCTTGTATATCAAGTCATTTATAGTTGTAATTAGTTTAGGATTTTTTTTCCTTCCATAATTGGGTTACGTTTAACCCTATATATTGTAAAAAAGGGATTAATTTTAAGGAGTCTCCACATGCAGTATGAATTCCACAACCAAACTGTATTCATAAGAAGGTAACCCACAACTACAATAGGGTTACGTTACAAAGTATTGATGTTCTTCATCATGACATCTTCTCTTAAACACTGATGGGATAGCTTTGAATTTATATGAGCGTGCGCCATTTTTGCTCATATCATGTCTGTGCCGCCTTTTTTCATTCATTAATGTCCATATTTATGCATGAAGCTTTCATATGTAAACGTGTGAAAAACAGAAATAGGATGTCAACCAAATTGCTTTTTGTATATCCATACTTGCAACGCATAGCGGTTCTTATTGATTTGTTGCTGTGGTTTTGGTTTGCTTATTTGCTACCGGAAATCATATTGACGAATGACCTGTAGATCCGCCACACACCCAATTCCTATTTTAATTTTCAATCACTGAGGCCCACACGTAACGAAAGTATCGTGCGTCGCAAGTTATACGTAAGAATCTCTATGTCTTACAAAGTGAGACTTCTTTCTTTGTCCTAATTATGCTTGTGGAAATTTCATTATTCTGACTTAGAACCTACGTGCCACTCTTGTTCCCCTAACAACTTAGTCAGCTATATGATTTTTCCTCTATTTTTAGTCTCGTGTGATGAGTACCCCCAAATACACATGATATTTGCTTTTTTTTCCTAAATAATTACAGTTTTTTTATATGACTTTTAATGAATGTCTGGCTTCATAACTTTAAGGTCTGTCTTTCAAACAATCGAGATCATTTGAAATATATAATTAGTTGATTTTTCAAAATTTTTGAAATTTGATAAATTCAACTTTCACACCTCATCCGCATCTTTAATAATTTAAATGAAAGAATAATCTCCGAACGCCAAAACCAAATTCCAATTTATTTATTTTTATATAGCAATTGATACGACAGTAGAATGGTGTGGTAGAATGTTATGGTAAGACCTGTCATTCGTGTCGTGTTTTCTGTATTCGTGTTGTTTTCGTGTCATACCCAATATCTTAACGGGGTCGTGTCGTGTAACACCCGTTAAAATAAACGGGTTAAATGACCCGACCTGAAATCGACCCGATAATATTAACAGGTAATATGACCCGATCCGTTACCTGTTAAGGAAAATATATTTTAAACCAATAAATAATCAAATGAAAAACATAATACTATATAAGTATATATATACCATATTGTCACATCCAAAACATAAAAACGCATTTTTCTTTTAAGTATATTTTCACTTACCTAAAGTCTTTAATAGTTTTTTAATTGATGTAGAAGTGTAAAAAAAATATAGAAAAAATATATAAACGCTCGTAATGACAAGTTTAACAACTTTCATGAAGAGCTTAACTTCGAAATTCACCACTATATTCATATAAATCATAGATCAAAATTTAACCATTGATTGTTGTTTACATTTACACTTCATTGTTCTCATCAAATTTTCTTTTTTTTCAGATTTTCTTTTTTGAAAACTTGATCTATTAGAGGATGCAGGAAGATGAACGGTTTGGATCGTTGATATTATATTCAGAGTGTTACAGTTAGTGAAAATATTGCTTGATGTTTATAAAGTTTCTACAAACTATATGACATTGACTCATATTTCAGTTAACCGTAAATATCAAAACATGATATCAAAGATCTAAACCGTTCATCTTCTTACATCCGCCATATGATCATGTTTTCAAAAAAGAAAATTTAAAAAAATGAAATTCAGTAAGAAAAATAAAGCGTAAATGACAATTGACAGTTAAATATAAATTTAAGGTTTATGAATTATAGTGTTGGATTTCGAAGCTAACCCCTTCATGAAAGTTGTAAAGTTTGTCACTATGAGTGATTGTATATATTTTTTTTTATTTTTTACACTTCTACAATAATTATTATTAATTTTACCCTCAAATAAAAAACATTATTCATGAAGGTTTGAAGGATTTTAAAAATCTAAACGATAATGTAAGTGTACTCGTGGAGGAATAATGATGAATCACGAGTGTTTATATATTCTTTCACATTTTCCATACTTGCATGTATGTCTTCTTAGTTCTTGCCTATACAAATAATATATTAGTTTATTTTAATTTTGGACAACAACATGTTAAGTAAAATTTATCCTAGTAATGATAATAAGGAACTCTCATAATAAAATTCAATATGACTAAAACTTTTTTTTTAAACTTATATAGAATAATAATACAAAATTATATATTTAATATAGAATATATTGTATATATTAATATGGCTTTTGTATTTTATAATAAATCTTTTAGTAATTAAACTTTAAAATTATCAAAATAAATTTTTTCTTAACTGGTTACCACGTGTTACCCGCGTGTATACCCGTTAAGAACCCGTTATTAACAGGTTCTTAACGTGTCACCCGATAATGATCCGATAAGTTATTGTGTTGATCTGAAACCCGTTATTTTCGTGTCATTTTTATGTTGTGTCTCCGTGTCAGAAACTGCCAGATCTAGGTAAGTCCTTTGCTCATAGTTTCTGAAGTACCCTAAAAGTCAAGATCTTAATTAGTGGAAAGACTTGGATATCAAGCAGTTGAAATAATGAAATTTCAAACATTTCGAAAAATCAATACATAGGAAACATCGTAGTAAGTATCAAATAATGAAACCTAATGGTAGTGCTAATCCATAGATACATGTTTTCAATTCCTTCTCTTTGACCTACTTATACATAATGCCAAAACAATTACAGACTACGACTAGTAGTGGAACCAA